AAAGCATTCTGGAAGTTGGAGGGTCCTACTGCGCAATTTTTTTTCAGCTGTCCAATTTCCTGAAGGCAGCAGCATAGCCCAATGCACATTAAGATTTCTTTCTGTGTCCCTTAATGTACTCAGAGAAAAGGATTTTACAGTAAGTTCTAAAAATCCTATTATACTGCTTGAGGTTAGTGGCTCATCACATGTTCCACTGAAAAGTACTTGGGTGCTGGTCCAGCTTGTTGCACTTCAACAAGGAAGGAAAATTAATTACAGCACTGTGAAATGCAGCAACTTTACATTTTGAAAAGGTGCTTTTTAGCACAAAACATGTCAGAGTTGGCCCATGCTACTATTCAATAAATAGGAAAGGTTGCTGCAGCCAATAGTTCGGTATTTCATTTTTTTTCCTTCCTCAATACAGGTTGCCTTTTTAAGGTTATTGTGAAGTAGCCTACAGATACCTCTCTGTTCCTCCAGTGCTTTCAGTGGAGGGGGTGGGCACGGTTGACGCTGGCTCTAGTGAGACAGAGCAAGCTGTCACAGTACATCTACTCCTACAAGAAGTAAAGCCAAAAAAAGTTTGCCTTTACTTCTCTTTTATGGAGAAACAAGACTTTTGTTTGGTGAATGATTGGAAAATGATTGTATTCTTTTATGCAAACCATAGATAAAAACATAACAAAACTTTACTTTTTCTTCTTTGCTTAGTATTCTATTTGTCCCATTTAAAATGACAAATTAAATTAAGATTCCTGGTAAATTACAGTATATACAAATACAAGTTTTTTTAATGTTGTGTTTTTTTAAAAATGTGACTGAAACAAATTAATGAACAAACTAAAATAAAAAAAGTTTAAATGATAATGGTTAGAAAAAAAAATCAAGAAAATGAGAGATGGGGAAGGAGTTAATAAGTTATTAAATAGGAATAAATATTAGAAAAAATGTTTTCAGTCATTGAAGTACACAGGAATTCAGGAACTCTGAAACAGTCATGTTATACTACTGTCTACAGGAGGTTTGGACACTGGAAAACAGAAATAAACTGTTGAATGCCAACCCATATGTAACACTTTTTATTACCCCACCTCTAACCATCAAGCCGTTTCCTAGGAAGTTGGAGGCCTTTCCTTTTGAGAAAAAGTCTAACTTTATTTTTTCATTTTATTTCTTTTCAATCAAGATATTCAATACACTGTAGACATTTTATTATTTGGTGGCTTCAATCATGACTGCAATAAACACTGATTGAGCTAGTCTCTACATAGCAACTATCCGGATCAGGGTATACACAGCAACAGCTTTGGAGGCCGTATCTGGACTGCACTGGACTGGAATGTGACCTTCCGGAACTGGGCTCTGCATTGTTGCTCTTTGCAGACTTTCATGTAGTGTTTTAGTTAGCCAAAGAGCCTTTTCCAGGTCAAGAGTCATGGTGTGACCCTGTCTCTGAAAGTTCACTTAGTGAGAAAGTACGGACGCTCTGAGAGCTACCTCACAGTTAGTACTGTTAGATGCTATTTTTTAAATTTCCTGCATCTGCCATTTTTACTGCGGTAAGACCGTGGAATTGAACACTGATGTCACCCTGGAGTGCTGCATGTGCATGTTCTGCATTCTCTTTCCCATTCAGCCTAGAGGAAGCACCATCCCGCTGCTGCTCCTGAAGCAACAAGTGGATCTCCAGTCTCTGGTTCCTTTCTACTGCCCACCTACAGTACTTCGTCAGCTATGGCCACCTGAAACTCTCATTATCACCAGCTGCCCAGGTTTGCGAGTATTTGAGCCCTTGGCTCACATTGGGCCTAGTTGTGTCATGACTATTTACAGTCTCCTCCAATTGTTTTGGATAATCAAGGAGTTGTTTCTAGCCATATTGATGCAGTGCACCATGCTTTTGGAGAATCAGCCTGCTGATATTGGCCTTGAGTCATTTAGAGATCTTGTAGCTGCAAAGAACTTTCCACTACACTCGTTGCTTGAGGACATCCTCTATGCAGACTGTAAACATCTTGAGTGGTCATGAGCCCCACCTGAGATTGTGCCAGAGCATTTCCCCTTTGAGGTGGGATACATTAATAGGTGGTCCATGCCCAAAGGGAAAGCTCCAGTGATCCACGGTAACAGAAATACCATCAGAAAGGTCAAAGGTATACTTACATTTTTGGACTTTACTGATAGAAAGTTGAGTTCCCTTCTTAGATCCCAGAATGAGTCCACTGGTTTGACCCTCTGACCTGTGTTTTGCCATAACAATCTGTCAAACCAGGTGAGAAAATGATTACGCTCTTAAGAGGGAATCCTTCCACTGCTGGAGCAGATGTCTGGAGCCTTGTGATTCAGCTGTGAGAGTTTATTACAAGCCTCTGAACTTGTGTCCTGCAGAGGACTGATGTCTGTGCAATGAGTGTGGGATACTGATGAGACTTCCAGGGAACAGCAGATTTGTCTTCCGTTAAAGGAATGTCATCTCTTTGGACTAGAATTTGGCACTTGGCAGTATGTTTCTTGCAAAGTGCAAGGGATATGCAGAAAGGCCAGGGGAGCCCTGTCCCCTTACCTCTTCTGTGTTGTGAACTTGCAGATCCTCTGAGTCTAACTCACACTGAGATATCTGCTAATGCTGATCCTCAGTATTTCTCACCTTCTCTCCCAGGCTGCTTCCAAGATTCTGACCCCTCAGTGTCCTTCAAGGACACTTGTAGTTGTTGACAGCATTGGGCCTTATGACCACCCTAGTACCTTTTCATGGCATTTCCATAGTGGGACCTTCCTTGAAAAGGGTTGGTTTTCTGGATTCTGATAGCCAGAATCCTATGAGGGTCCAAATCCTGCAAATTTCCACCAGTTGGAGCCTTACATATACACTATGTAGTGTTGATAACTATTGGTCACCAACAAGCGAGGCTGACCATTTAGCTCCTTGCTGAAGTTCTCTTCACTACTGGTAACGGTACTCCTACCTCCTTCTGATTAGAGGCTAGTGGGTACTGGAGGCTTGTGCTTGTTACATTGCCTCTAGCTACTTGTTACTTTTGATCTTGCTTAGTCTCCCCCATTGTATTCTGGAGTGTGGAGTCAAGGCGAGAAGTACAGGCAGACCATATGGATTAGGATGGATCTGATGTTTCCTAATTTGCACCCTCAGTCTTTTAGGGTCTGTGTAATTATTTCCCCCCATCATGGGATAACCTCTGTCACCTGCTTTTCTCAGGTCTGGAAATCAAATCCTGTTCCCTGGAACAAATGGTGCCTTCTTCTTTATGGGAGTGCTGTGAGTAGGTACCTTGACCTGCACCCTGTTGGACATCACTTTAGTGCTGTAAAACCTTCACCTATGGAGAAAAGCTAGGAATTCTCCCTGTTACAGGGCAAGTGATATGGTCCCTACACAATTTTGGTCATCTGAACCTCTTCAACCTGTTGTCTCCATTCTGGGGATGAAGATTTACAGCATGCACTTGGGTGTGCTTTTTTTCCTACTTGGAAGAGGAGAAACCAACACTGGGGGGTTCGGTTTATTTGGAATCAGGACCTCCTACTGTGGCTGATTTGCAGCTTGTATGCCCAAAATATCTTCCCTTCCTGTGTCTTTAATTAGGATATTATAGATAGACCCCGCAGGGGATTTTCCCTGACAGGTTCTAGTGACAACACTCGGTGATGATCGGTTTGATGGACATATCAGCTCGTGTTACTGGTTTCTGGTGTTGTTGCAGTTGTATGGGGTGGTTATCATCCTACTCCTGTCTTTTTTGGTAGGAATACTTTTCACGACCCTTGTTCCCTTTCAGTCTTTATGACTTATGGTGGTTCCATTGGGGTTGTCTCTAACTCCTTAGGTCTTTGACCATCTCTTTGTAGTATTCTTTTACATAGTCCGGTATCTTTATTATCTCATACTAGATTGCAAAGTTGCCCCAGACAACCCTACTTTTTTATGCCTTACTTTCCTAAAGTATAGGGTCAAATGTTTAAGACTTCTGCCTTTTTGTCATCATTAGAGCAGTTGCTCTTACTTTGTAGACCTGTCTGACAATTTTCTCTTAGATTTCTGTTTTGAGAATGGAAAACCTTCCAGTGCTCTCTTTGTTGACCATTCTTGTTGTTGGACTGTTCTCACTGTTTGGGTAGTAGGTGTTTCTCCACCTGTTGGTAGTTGCTTTGGCTCACAGCTTCTGCCAGTAATGACTCAGTGTCCTTTGAGGTAGTCTTTCCCTTTGGAGGTGATTTTTGTCATGGTTTGGTCATCAGGTTGATCCTCTGTGATCTTCCCTGGGTTGTTAAACGTTCTCCTATCCTGTTGGTAACTTCACCACTTCTGGTTCAGGTACAGGCATTGGTCCTGGTTGTTACAGACGGCTCCTGGTTCTGACTTAGATTCGCCAGTGGCTGTTGCCCTAACCTCATTTGGGCAGTACCAATGCTGCTCAATTACTGAATTTCTGTGTCCCTCAATGTCCAATAAAGAAAATAAGATTTTTGTACTTACCATAAAATCTTTTTCTTAAAGTTAATTTAGGAACATGGTCCATGTTCTTCTGTGTTTATTAGCCTTATTACTGCTTGCTCACAAAACTGAGGCATGACGGTTGAAGGCAAGATTATATGGGGCAGTTTTTTTTCCAAATCTCCTGTAGGCAGCAGTATAACATGATTACTTAACAATTTCTGAATTCCCTCAGTGGCCTTGCAGAAAAAATTTAACAGTAAGTACAAAATACCAGAATTCTAAATATAGCGTGCCAGTTGGATAAATGAGTATCATAAGGACCAACATAGCATTCCTGCAGGAGTTGTTTCATCAATCTTCCTTTAGCGCTGGTAATGTAGCAGCAATTTCTACAAGCAGGGTAAATATATCAGTCCTATTCTTTGTTTGTCTATACCAGATACAGTAGGTTATGTACTAACATTAAGCATGTGTCAACTAACAGTGAATCTCAATATATTGTTCAGCTGCATTATATATCTAAATAAATGTAAACCATCTTTTTTGGTATTGTATGCAGTTCCCAGCCCACCTTCTGGATTACATGTTGAACGGCTGTCTGAAACATCTCTTGCACTGTTTTGGGGACCTCCTGAACATCCTAATGGAATCCTAACAGGCTACAAGATTTCTCATCACTTGGGTAATTTTTGTATATCTAGGTTAAAGCACCATTTTTGTTAAATTCATCTTACTTATAACTAAAGCTGGCCATTCACCTATAGATTTTCTGCAGATTTTCTATGGTCAGATGGGAAAAGTGCAACAGATTCCTCCATGTACGCTACACTGCGTGGATGGAGGAATCTCCCACTGGGCCAAGCTTCAGTACCTTGCTAGTCGGCCCCGCTGGCTCTCAAAACACCTGAACAATGCCTGCATCAAATCAGTTTGTTCAGGTATTTTGACAGCCAGTGGGGCCGACTAGCAAGATACTGAAGCTTGGCCCAGTGGGAGATTCCTCCATCCACACAGTTTAGCGTAAATGGAGGAATCTGTTGCACTTTTTCCATCTGACCATAGAAAATCTGCAGAAAATCTATAGGTGTATGGCCAGTTTAAGGCATGGACTTCTATGCAGGTCCACTATGTGCACTGAAAAAGCAAGTTTGCCTTCCTCTGGTTCATCACATTTAGTTTACCTTTTTGCATTCTTAACCATATCAGTCTATGTGTAATAAGAATAGTTGGAAATGCCCTTGAGTAATTAATTATTATTATTATTACATAGTATTTATATAGCGCCAACAGTTTGCGCAGCGCTTTACAATATAAGGAAGACATTACAGTTACAATACAATTCAAGACAAGATGGTAAGGAGGGCCCTGCCCCTGAGGGCTTACAATCTAAAAGAGGAGGGGGAAATGATACATGAGGTAGCTGTGGGAATGAATTATGTGAGAATGTGAAGGTTCAGTGGTTAGGTTGCGGTGGGATAGGCTTCCCTGAAGAGATGAGTCTTTAGGGAACGCCTAAAGGCAGTCAAGGTGGGAGATAGATGGACAGGTTGGGGTAAAGAGTTCCAGAGGATGGGAGAGACTCTAGAGAAGTCCTGGAGGCGAGTATGGGAGGAGTGGACAAGGGAGCTGGAAAGCAGGAGGTCAATGGATGAGCGTAGGGGACGGTTAGGGTGATACTTTGAGACAAGGTCTGAGATATATCCGGGGGCGGAGTTGTGGATGGCTTTATAGGTGACTGTTAATATTTGGAATTTTATCCTCTGGGTGAGTGGAAGCCAGTGGAGGGATTGGCAGAGGGGGGATGCAGACACTGAGTGGTTGGTAAGGTGAATGAGTCTGGCAGCTGCATTCATGATAGACTGAAGGGGGGATATCCTGTGTAGTGGAAGGCCAATGAGGAGGGAGTTACAATAGTCAAGACGAGAGATAACAAGGGAGTGTATGAGTAGTTTTGCGGTGTCATTGGTGAGGAAGGGGCGTATTTTTGAGATGTTACGAAGGTGAAGGCGGCAGGATTTGGATAGCGATTGGATGTGGGGAAGAAAGGTGAGGTCCGAGTCAAGGATGACACCTAGGACCTTGGCATGAGGGGAGGGTTGGATAGTTGTGTTATCAATCACAACTGAAATGTTGGGGGAAGGTGCACGGGGTGGAGGAAATATCATGAGCTCAGTTTTTGAAACGTTGAGTTTTGTTGTGAGAAATGTTGTGACATCCAGACGGATATGTCATTTAGTAGATTAGTGACACGCAAGGACACTGAGGGGGAGAGTTGTGGAGTGGAAAGATAAATTTGAGTGTCATCTGCATAGAGATGGTATTAAAGCTTCCAATCTCCAACTGTTATTTGTCGGCCAGTAAAAGTCTTAATCAGACTGGTGGCTAAAGGGTCATACAAAGAGTTCATTTTGAGATATATTGTCAAATAAGGCTTTGTGTGACTAAATTGCTGAATGTAACAGGGTTAATTATTTTAATTATATTATATTACATTACCCATATTATGCAGCACTTTACAGGGAATTTTATTTATAACATCCTTCATTTTCCCAAGTGTAGCTTACAATGCCTAGTCCCCTGGTGCCAAACACATGGGGCCCTCTGGCACTTGCTGTGTGGCCCTTTGCAGACCCCAGTAGTCAGTAGTGGTCTTGAAAGAATTAATTTGCAAAGCGACATGTAGCATGTCCCCAATCTGTCTGTCTCCTACAGCATGTCTCCATTCACCAACCACACCTATTGCATGTTCGCAATCTCTGACCATCTCCTCGCTCATGTTAGAAGTCTGTTGTAGCATTACATTTACTGAATATTGTTTGTGGCCCTTTGGTGCTGTCAGGGCCACTGTTGAGGCCCCCTGTATCTCATAACTTGACAACTAGTCTAAGCAGATCCCTAGAGCCAGTTTAGGAACAAGACAATTAACCTACCAGTATGTCTTTGTGAGATAAAATTCCTGTTAACAGGGAGAATGTACAAGGTCCATGAAGAAACAACCTGGTTGGTGTTGAAGTTTTCATGCATTGGTGCGTGTCAATTTAAATGGGCCAATAATGAGTTTCAATGCATGAAAAACATATCTGCACTTTATTTGTACAGTGGACCATTCAAAATGTATGACAATGCACCACAAGGCACATATACTGCATGTTGTGATGCACCTTCCTGGCCTTCCTTCACACCCACGTACTTATTTATATATTGACATATGCATAACTAAGTACGTGGGTGTGAAGTAAGGCCAATTGTAGCCACAGGCAAACCGTCAAATGCACTATTGAAATCTATCTATCTATCTATCTATCTATCTATCTATCTATCTATCTATCTATCTATCTATCTAGATATAGATAGATATATATATCTATCTATATCTAGATAGATAGATATTTCTATATATATCCATCTATACATATACACACACACACACACTCTCTTTACTGTTTTACCAACCAAAAAAAGTGTAATACTGTACAGCCAATCTTGTGATTTACACAGTGCTGTTTCACTGCACAGCCAGGCATGTTGCTTATTTCTTTGGTTCAGCAGTTCAGCTTCTTATGTTCTCTCCATCTCCCACTTGTTTACTGGTCAATGAATCTGCATCATAACCAGGAAAAAGCAAAGTTGAACAAAGGAATTACCAATGTGATCTTCCTAGCTGATCAATGTGGTAGCTTGTGTAAAAGATTAACAATTCATCGTCATTCACAGTCATTTATTCTGGAACTAATGTTTACATCTGCCACCTCTAGAAGGTTAAGCACTAAGCAAAGAAAGGGTGCATCCCTATGTAGTGGTTAAACCCTGCATGTTCAGTACAGCATAAGCTCAGTTTCACTTAGTGTCCTGAGGAGGTAAGACATCTCTCCCCAGCTCTTCTGGATTAAGATTTCAAGCTGAAAATTCTATAAACAGCTGGCAGGGTCATACTTGACCGACAGATTCTAGATACTTACCCTAGAACCCTACAATGCCAGTGTCATACCAAACCCCCAGATTCAGAAATGTACTGCATGAAGTCTTCTTCACCTTTGTGAGGTACAGTACCAGGCCCCCAGATTCAGAGTGTATACTTGGATCAGTGTTTATAACAGACTCCCAGATTTGGTTATGCATTGCATGACATGTTGTACCCCCAGAGTCAGATATCCTCAGTGTTTTATACCCGGAACAGTGTCATCCTGAACCCGATCACATCCTGCACATAGAGTAGATAGAGAGCTAAAACTGTGTCTAAACCTTCCTTTAAAGAAGACATTCCTTAAAACACAAAGGACAGATTTACACTATTGAGTTTCAGTAATGTGTGCATTACCGCAAAATGCGTTATGCATAACACCCCAACGCACCTTGCATTGCGGTGTGCTGTGTTGCTAAAAATAGAGCATGCACCCTTTTTGGTGCATAGGAGCATTAGGGTGCCCATTCAAATGAATAAGCTGCCTTAACACAGATGTACGGCATACACATGTAATTGGACCCTTATGGACTATTTAGCAACCAGTGGTGGTTATGACAATAAACACTTTGGTCAGGACTGTGTAAGGCCTCTTTCACACTATCCAATCGGGAGAGGATCTGTGCACGGATCCCCTCCTGATTGGAGTGGTACAGATCAGATGTCATCACTGTGATATCCATGTCCAGCCAGTTTTTTCCTCCATCTTGCAATGGAGGAAAAATTAGAACTGACAAGACCCCATGTCGGTTTACAGGGAATCGGATGTAAATAGACATGTGTCCGTTTACATCAGATTACCTCTGATCCAGCATGATCAGGTCCAGCGAAACGGAACACTGTTCCATTTGGTTTTCCGGACATGACCAAAACCGGGGGCAACCAGATGTAAACGACTATCCGTCGTTAGATACAGCTAACCGTTGACTTACATTGGTCATCTGCATGGATCCGCCAGAAAAACTGACAGGTGGACCTGATTAGACCGACCGTCTGTGAACAGCCTTATACAGGTGGCGATTTAGGTGACCATACATCGTGTGAAATTCAGGCAGTTTCCCAAGAAATTTGCACAGAGGGTGCTGTTGTCGGCATCCTTTAGGCCTGCATACCATGATCGAAGGAGCCGGTCGGAAAGTCTTTGTTCAGCCTACGGGTTGAAGAAAAAAAATAGAGCAGTGTATGGCCATCTTCAGACTATAAAGGTTAAAGACTTTAGTGCCTCTGCCAGGAGTGCAATGACTAGTCTGAATCCCCAAAGGCCAAAGCACTCTGCTAAAGTCTTTTCTAATCATCAAAAGTTTGATAGTATCCTAATTAGTGAAAGCAACCAGACATGCCTTTCTCCTCTAAGTGGTTTTCCACCCGGTTAAGTAGTGAACAAAACCATCTTCATCTAAACAAGGAGACAGTGTCACAGATTATACATCCTTTAAGGATTTGGCAGAAAATAAATTGAAGTCCCTCTGTAGACTTATTTTTAGAATTCTTGCTCTGCTCTCAGATTTTATTGCACCTGGTTTCCCAGCATGTGACTGAAAGTCATGGGTGGGAATTTATCAACGCAATTGCAACAGTTTTAGCCTTTTAGATATTTTTTTTAATGTAAATATCTGTTTAGCCTCTCCTTTTAACATGTGCGCCTGTTTTGACCAGAGCTGGCACTATTTGTCCGATAACACGTGTATTGTGTGTGTTTTGCAAAAGTTTGCAACTGTTTACATCTGCACTTGTCCTGCGGCTGTCTGAACCTGGAGCATCCCCTTACAAAACAATTGTTAGTTAAGAAGTCCCCATGACCGCTTCTTCAAGAAGCGCCAATTAAGCTTCTTGCCTGGAGTTACGAGTCTTCTTTCCTTGAGTCTATTTAATCTAATTTATGAACAACATTATACTACCAACATATATCCAGTGCAAATATATCCTATGCAACCATATGCGAGCAGGGCAGCCTTCAGAAATTGTGGGGCCCCTTACACAGCTTTATGCCTGGGCCCCCCTCCGCACCGCCGCCCCTACTGCCGTCACACTGAGCCAGTCACATCAGCTCTGGACAGAGGAGCTTACATTGCCCTCCCACAGTCACATACTATTATTATACATCTATATAGCTCTGACATATACCGTTGTGCTGTACAGAGAACACTGAGCCAGTCACATCAGTCTCTGTACAGAGGAGGTGACACTCTAATGTCCCCTCCCCCACAGTCACATCAGTCTCTGTACAGAGGAGCTTACACTCTAATATCCCCCCCTCAGTCACATCAGTCTCTGTACAGAGGAGCTTACACGCTAATGTCCCCCAACAGTCACATCAGTCTCTGTATAGAGGAGCTTACACTTTATATAGCTTCTCTCTATCTCTGCAGCTGTTAATAGGGTGGTATTGAGGATTTTGGGGTAGACCACTATAGCGCGGATAATCATTTGTTTTGCTGATATATTTACATGTACCCAATCTGCCCCTATGCAGGATACATTTTGTTACCAGTGCTAATAAAGATGCGGGCACAATTTTTTCAGTGGGGGGCCCGGGACCACAGGGGCGGTAGGCCCGCTCTCCCTGTATCTACAGCCCCTCCCTCGCTACCTCTTGGCACTTGTCTGTGCCGCTGTCAGACTAGGATAGTGATGGCGAATGTTTTAGAACCCGAGCATCCAAACTGCGACGCAAAATCAATTTATTTATCTCAAAGTGCAAACACTGCAAATAACTTTAGTATTGCGTTGCAGTTTGGGCGATTGGGTTTAAAAAATGTTCAGCATCATCACTGCCTCAGGCAAAATAGGCAAACACACAAATTCAAATATGTATACACTCATTAAAACACACAAATCACACATTAACAACTTGCTGCCTGGAGCAATTTCTTACATTTGCACACATGATAAAATCTGAATTTTTGGCTAGAAAAAAAGCTTCAAACCCTCCAAACAATTATATATTTTCTGAAATCAGAGGCCCTGTAGAATAGAAAGCTGCTAGTTGAAATGTTTTATGTTGCACAGTATTTGCGCAAATGTTTATCAAACAAGTATTTTTAGGATAAAATACACTAAAATGAAATTTAGTGCACAGAAACAGAATATAATGGCTAATTTTTTGATAAAATATAAAAGTCGGGGTCATGCCTGGGCAAATAGATACCAAACATGTCAATCCTTAAAATTGCGCTCGCCCGTGAAACCGCAAAAAACTTCAATACCTAAAATTTCCCATAGGTTAATCAGTTTAGCGCTATCAGTGATTGATGGGCCGAGAGATATTGCTCTCACTGCGACATTCGCAACGATATATAACGTGTGGCACAATGTTTGCTTTTGCACGTAGGCGCATACAACACGTGTTTGCGTTGTATGTGGGGGGTGGGGGACCTTAACTGCTTGCCGTCCGCCCGTTGTGAAAAAATGGACGGATGGCAAACTCACATAGGCGTTGCCGTAATTAGATGGCTTTTTTTTCTGCGCGCACGGGCAGAAAAAAACCTGTCCTTTCTGAGGAGCCGTTACTGGCTGTTTGACATACAACCGATTGGTGGCTCTATAGCCGACAATCGCTTGTATGTTGTGACTGCGTGCCCCCCTCCTAGAGTGCCGCCACCTCCCTCCTGCACCCTCACCTTCAATCCTGGGATCCGCTACCCCTTCTGTGGCCCAGGACCGGCTCGGAAGGGTGTCAGAAGGAAGATGGGAGGGAGATCAGCATCTTCCTCATTGCTGACCTCCCTCAGTACTGTGAATGCGGAAGTTCACCGCATTCACCTGTCAGTCTTCTGGCTGCTATAGCTAGAGAGACTTTATAATAATAAGGCTGACTTGAGACTAAGGGTCTCCTCTTTGCCCAAGGTCTTCCACATCAGTGGGAACATTGTACTTGCTTTATTATATCCATCATCTTATTCAAAAGAAATTGCCCTGCACACCCTGGATTTTCAGAAGACAGATTGTCATTCCAGACAGTCCTTGCAATGGTTCCCTGAATTCTGGTGCAATCATCTCCAGATGGATTTGCCTGTCCATTTCACTGGCTTATCCCCTCCCCTGTCACTGCTCACTCTACCAGGGCTTTAAGTCCTTTCTGGGCTTTTTGGCTCCAGACCTTAGTCTCTCTGGTATACCAACTCATCTGTTCTATTCACTAAGGTATACCATGTAGATGTGGCTGCACCAGAAGATGCCAGCTTTGGATGTAAAGTTCTGTAGGTGGCAGTGTGATCCAGTTCCGCTATTTGGGTCTGTTGCCTTGATACTTTGGTTTGTTTTGGCTGCCCCTCTTTCCTGGGGCTTCTTTTAAACATCCCATCAGCTCCAGATAATAATAAGGCTGACTTGAGACTAAGGGGGTGATTTACGAACCTAAACACACGCACGCACTAGGTGCGTGTGATTTTTACACATCAAAACGTATTTATCAACCAAAAAGTCTCTAAAAGCATATTTCCACTAATGCCATATATGTAAAAATCATGCACATGATGCATATATAATGCTGCTTCACAGTTTAGACAAAAATGGTTAGCTCATGCATTTACATTCCTTGCATTCATCAACGCAAGCAACACAACATAGAGCTAATTTACCCAACATCACCTTGGAATTCCTTCAGGGCTTTGCACAACACACCTGCTGGGTGTGTACACATTACAAAGGTGTTTAGATTCCACCCATAGATCATGCTGGGAGGGAACACACTGCAGAGGTGTATACACGTTCGTGGTGTGTTTATAAGGTTAGTAAATCAACCACTAAGGGTCTCCTCTTTGCCCAAGGTCTTCCACATTAGTGGGAACATTGTACTTGCTTTATTATATCCATCATCTGACTGAATAACTGACTTATAATGAATGCAGGGAAACAAGGGGATTTTTGTACTCGCCTGTAAAATCATTTTGGCAAGTAACTTAGAAAATGTATATGTATTTTAATGTATATTTATTTAGCTGTTTTATCGGTTTCCAGTTTAATTCCTGCAAGGTGGGAAAACAGGCATGCAGTTCTATTTGGTAAGCATATACAGTATCCTTTGTAATGGAGCCAGGTAACTGCTTGCTGTTGCATACTCTGACATTTCTCCTTTTATCTACTTCTTTCAGTGAATAAGCATCATACTGACTCATTTTTACTGCAAACAATCAATGATCCAACTCAACAAAACTGGACCTTTTACAACATAAGTGCCAAGGATACATACAGATTCTATGTGTATGCCAAGAACTCTGTTAAAGAAAGTTTACCTGCCGAGATAGAGGGTAGCACAATGAAAGAGCTAGGTAAGAAATACTACATTTTAAAGACTATTGGGCAGTAAAATATTGTTGAAGCGGTATAAGGAAGGTAATGAAAATAAAACAGCTGCTCTTCAAAGGAGCCATCTTGAGCCTCTCAAAAAAGAAAAACCTCAGACCAGTTGTCTGCCTTTTCAATGTGTGTCAGTTTGTGCAAGACTGGGCAGCACTTTACGACCCCGATAAGGGAATCTCTCAGTGTTGTGCATGCACCAGCTGCTAGCTATAGAACTAATAATGACTTGCCCATCTCACTGTTCTGAGCAGGGAGGCAACAAGCTATTATTCTCTATGGCTAGGAGCTGGTACATGCAGAGTATTGCAGAGAAACTAGCTCCTGGGAGTGTGAAGTTCTGTCCGGCCCTGTGCAAGAATTCAAATGAGGCCGGTCTGGTTTGGCTTTAGATATATTATAGTAAAGAGGACTACCAGCAATGGGAGCATATGGGTGGTGTGTCCTTAATAGTGCAGCTGTCCTTAAAAAAATACTCTAGTATGCACCACTGATATCTAAAATGGCATCTAAACACCATGTTAATGTGGTTAATGTTAATGAGGTTCCTATGCCTTTGACATGAGTTTTGATGTTGGAAAGTTTGATTTTTTTTTTTAAATGAACCTTTGCTCTTTTGTGTGTTCGATACATTGTTCAAGATAACAGCAGAAGTATTCCTGTGTTTTCTGATAAACATTATCCCCAGATTTAAAGCTTATCTTTGGGAAAAGGATGTGTCTCCTCAAGCTCATTTTATCTCTGCTTTACTGACAATATCTACACTTTTAAGGTGGCCATACACCTTACAACAATTGTACAACTTTTGTTGCCCATATATCTCACCCTCATTCAATTTTCTTACAACTAGCCCATCATGCACAGACCAATGTAGTTCGCGATTAACGCTCGTCGGCACCACCACCTGGCTGATTTTCATCGATCGAAAGGACAGATTTTCGTTTGAGCATGTGCAGTTTGCATCTTGAGATTTTTGTTACAACCAGTCAATTTTCATCCGATTAGACAAAAGTTTTCTAGCCTGCTTGAAAGACAAAAATCTGCCAGTTGTACAGTAATTGAGGTTGTACACTCCCCATCAACTGGTAGATTTTCTGACGAAAATGCAATCGCAGACAAAAATATCCAGATAATTGTAAAGGTGGCCACACACCTTACGATTATCGGACGACACTTTTTTTTTTTAAAGTGTATAAGCACCTTTATCTCCATCAGATATTAGTTGACTATGTGATCATATTAGTGTTTTCAGTAACCAGCTTACTTATGCTAAATTTCATCAACCCTAGGTATTCGTGCTGTTCTATGATTTAGTGTCAATCACATTCTCACAGTACAGCAGGAGAACATGCATTGCACAAAGGCAGCCCACTCAATTTAGGCTGGATTCACATTGTTTTGATGGGTCAACATGTGCGCATTATTGTGCATTGTGTTAAGGAAACCAATACATTTCAATGGGCTACCTAATACACAAAGATGCACCAAAAGAGGTGCTTGCACTATTTGCTGTAATTCAGTGCACCACTATGTATGATAGTGCTTTAATATTTGTTGAAGTGGGTTGCAGCACAGGTGCATTGGTAAGGTGTGTTGGGATGACATTAACAATGAATGGCACCAGAGCTCACAAACACACACAACACATTTTTGCAGCAGTGTTAACCCAGCTCAATGGGCTGCTGAATGCACCAAAATGCACTATTTTTGTAATGCATCACAAAACTTATGAAAGTGCATTACCCTGGATTATGGTAAGGTGCGTTGGGCTGCCATTAAGAATGAATGGCACCACAGTGCACCATCAAACTTCAGGCATTGTAGTAAAATGCAGTAATGCAACGCTGTGAGCCTAGACTTAAGACTTGCTGATAAAAGCAAGTTATGCTTCTGATTTACCTAAGTGTCTAGATCAGTGGTCTCAAAGTACCGGCCCGCGAGCCGCTACTTTGTGGCCCGCAGCCAGCTCACAAGTCTGGTACCAGACTTGCGGGAGTGTCAGAATGTTTATACTGCTCTGATATACAGTCTTATGTTTATGGAAACAAATAAGAATCTATAATTTAAGGAGATTCCCAACGTATTTCCATAAATCAAAATTTACACGAGTTCTTTCATTTGCACTGACTTTGAAGACAAGAGGAATACAAAAGTATACAAAATATATATATATATATTTATTAATTAAAAATCAGTGCAGAATAAAATAATAATATAATTGGTAACAAACAAAGAATATGGATCAGATTATATCAATCAATTGGATAACACAGGTAATGCTAAAAATGTAACCACAGGATATTGTTCAAAATATAAATGTAACCAAAATAAAAATGACTTTTTAAATGTAATGGGTATCTCACAGACTAAGAAAACAAAAGGTTCAGAATTGACAAGTGACTTCTCCCAGCACAGATATTCACAAACTCAAACTTTTAACAGCGCATGGGTGATATTTATCCCATCATGCACAGGGCTGGCAATGAGCCAAGACCATTCAAAGTAAAGAAACATTTCCACCAGTTTAATTCAATATATATCAGACTAGACCATTGACTAGAAACTGAAATCAGTTTCCTGGAGATTATACAAATGTATATAACAATTGTATATATTTATCTCCCCAAATTGAAAGACACCATTTTTACTGCAGTTAAAAATTATCTCAAATCAATTTAGATCCTACAAGAACTCAATGGTTTACCCGAATATATATATGTGGCTAAATAATTGCCTAATATACAGATATAAAGTATACTTTACCAGCAATTTAAACTTAGTTGTTGGGAAAAAGTCAGCAGTCAATGCTCAGAAACCAGGAATGGTCAGGTTCTCTTTAGTTCAGTTTCCTTGGACAGCCGTCCTCAGCTTCCGACCTATACCCTTGGAATGTATTTGCTTACTGCCTACTTTGTGTTGGAATTCGGCTTCTGGTCCTTTTTCTGGTTTCTCCCTCTTACTTTTATCTCCCCCTGGGTTGTGGGCTTGGTTTGGTCTTCCACGTGATGATTGACGCGAACCATGACGTCAGATATATCATTTTTGCCATATACCTTTCCTTCACAATCACCACCAGGGGGCACTATTGTTCTATATAAAAGTTGGGAGCATTTCATTTAATTCTACTATTTTCTAAAGATAAGGCAGTCAGATAGCCTCTGACCTAAGCTATGGACAACCCATAAAGAAAGTCATGAATAACATCTCATGACAACCTCTTGTCTGACTTCTAGTCTACTTCTTCGATTTACAACCTTGAGAAAGTCTAATCTAAAGCAATTAGCATTCTTTCTCAAATTCCTTAAAAGTTGAGGTAACGACCCAGTGGTTTTTAACATATTAAAAGAAAAGAAAATACATTGGCATGTACCACCTAATTCTTTGCACTTAAAATATAAAAACCCCATTATTAGTAATACACAATAATATATTTCAATGGGTACCCTCAAACAATATATAATGAATATAGTTTGGATATATAAAAGCACATGTATCAAATTTTACTTGAAATTATTCAATTAAGTAGGCATATAGATTCTGCAGATAATATCATAATATAATAACATTATTGCTAATATACCATTACTGCAATGAATAGTAAGGTTTCATAAACAACTTTTAAGATAAACCCCATCTTCTATTCATTGAGAGAGAGAGAAAAAAAACACCTTTAAACATTCCAGTCACTTGTACATTGTGGAGGCAAGAAAGAAAGAAAGGCAAGTCAGTCTCCGAAGGGAGGGGATCATGCTCTGCTTCAGTATGTCACAGTACCTGTTGGCATTCATGGTTCCTTCAATGAACTGTAGCTCCCCAGTGCCGGCAGCACTCATGCAGCCCCAGACCATGATACTCCCACCACCATGCTTGACTGTAGGCAAGACACACTTGTCTTTGTACTCCTCACCTGGTTGCCGCCACACACGCTTGACACCATCTGAACCAAATACGTTTATCTTGGTCTCATCAGACCACAGGATATGGTTCCAGTAATCCATGTCCTTAGTCTGCTTGTCTTCAGCAAACTGTTTGCAGGATTTCTTGTGCATCATCTTTAGAAGAGGCTTCCTTCTGGGACGACAGCCATGCAGACCAATTTGATGCAGTGTGCGGTGTATGGTCTGAGCACTGACAGTCATGCAATTGGTTGATGGCCGAGGCCTGAGTATCTAGGCACCACACCCCTAGGCTAATGGTATTGAAAAAGAAGAAAGGTGGGGCTTTAATGGTGCCAAAAGACAATTCCAAGACAAATACGGATAAAAATCTATTTTTTATTTGAGATAGAATACAAAACTTAAAAATGATGATCACCATACAGATAACTCCCAATGAATTCACTCCACTTGAATAGTTGGGTCAATATACATGATTGATTCGCAACAACAAACATAAATAACATGATTCACAGTGATGATATGAACATGATTGATCGGACTGATTCAGAATTGAGGGGTCGCACAATTGCTGACTCACCTCAGTTCTGATCTAGCCAGAAAGATGGTACATGATTATAAAAATAAATAAACTCAAAATGATCAATTCAATAGGTATAGATAGATTCAAAGCGGAGGGATCACTGGTTACTCAACGTTTCACGCTGAAAAAAGGCGCTTCTTCAGGAGATAGAGAGTATCTTCGAGAGGTGAGCAGGTGTGCGTCAAAGCGGACCAGTCCGGGCAGAACCCACAATCGGGACAAAGTGGCGAAGCCCACCACCCTGCAGGAACCCAGCAGGAGGTAGGAGTCACAAATTCAGAAGAGGAACCCAGCCCATTCCTCAGCAACAACCCAACAAACGTCACTGGACAGGGTCACATAACTCCACACCCCCAGAGCCACCAGCCTCCGACACAGCCGCCCCTGAGCCGCACAATGACAGACTGACCCCCCACCCCTTTAACCTCTGCAGCAATGCTGGCAGCACTCATACATCTATTTCCCAAAGACAACTTCTGGATATGACGCTGAG